TAGACACACAGTGACACACACACTGCCACAAAGATACACACTGACACATACACTGACATATAGACACACAGTGACACACACACTGCCACAAGATACACACTGATACAAACACTGACATATAGATACAAAATGACACACACACTCACACATAGACACACACTGACATACACACTGCCACAAAGATACACACTGACACATACACTGACATATAGACACACAGTGACACACACACTGACACATAGATACACACTGCCACATACACTGACATATAGACACACAGTGACACACACACTGCCACAATGATACACAGTGACACACACACTGCCACAAAGATACACACTGACACATACACTGATTTATAGACACACACTGACAAACACACTGCCACATAGATACCCGCTGATACATAGACTGCCACATAGATACACACTGACACATACACTGACATATAGATACAGAGTGACACACACACTGCCACAAAGATACACACTGATACATACACTGACATATAGACACACAGTGACACACACACTACCACAAAGATACACACTGACACATACACTGACGTATAGACACACAGTGACACACACACTGCCACATAGATACACACTGATACATACACTGACATATAGACACAAAGTGACACACACACTGTCAAAATGATACACAGTGACACACACACTTTCACAAAGAAACACAGCGACACACACACACACACACACACACTGTCACAAAGATACACAGTGACAGAAACACGCACTATCATATAAATACAAAGTGACACACACACACACTGTCATATAAATACACAGTGACACACACACATTGTCACAAAGATACACAGTGACACACACACTGTCACAAAGATACACAGTGATACACACACACACTGTCACAAAGATACACAGTGACACACACACACTGTCACAAAGATACACAACGACACACACACACACACTCTCACAACGATACACATAGACACACACACTGTCACAAAGTTACACATAGACACACACACTGTCACATAAATACAAAGTGACACACACACACTGTCACAAAGATACACAGCGACACACACACTGTCACAAAGATACACATAGACCCACACACTTTCACAAAGATTAACAGTGACACACACACACACACGCACACACTGTCACATAAAAACAAAGTGACACACACACTGTCACATAAATATACAGTGACGCACACACTGTCACAAAGATACACAAACAGTGACACATAGACACGCAAACACTGTCACAAAGATACACAGCGATACACACACACTGCCACAAAGATACACAAAGACACACACACAATGTCACAAAGATACACAATGACGCACACACACTGACATATAGACACACAGTGACACACACACTGCCACAAAGATACACACTGATACATACACTGACATATAGACACACAGTGACACACACACTGCCACATAGATACACACTGATACATACACTGACATATAGACACACAGTGACACACACACTGCCACAAAGATACACACTGACACATACACTGACATATAGACACACAGTGACACACACACTGCCACATACGTACACACTGACACATACACTGACATATAGACACAAAGTGACACACAATGCCACAAAGATACACACTGACACATACACTGACATATAGACACACAGTGACACACACACTGCCACATAGATACACACTGATACATACACTGACATATAGACACACAGTGACACACACACTGTCACAATGATACACAGTGACACACACTTTCACAAAGAAACACAGCGACACACACCCACACTGTCACAAAGATACACAGTGACAGAAACACGCACTATCATATAAATACAAAGTGACACACACACACACTGTCACAAAGATACACAGTGACACACACACTGTCACAAAGATACACAGTGACACACACAAACTCTCACTAAGATACACAACGACACACACACACACACTGTCACAAAGATACACATAGACACACACACTGTCACAAAGTTACACATAGACACACACACTGTCACATAAATACAAAGTGGCACACACACACTGTCACAAAGATACACAGCGACACACACACTGTCACAAAGATACACATAGACACACACACTGTCACAAAGATTAACAGTGACACACACACACACACACACACACACACACACACACACTGTCACAAAGATACAAAGCGACACACACACTGTCACATGAATACACAGTGACACACACACACTGTCACATAAATACAAAGTGACACACACACTGTCACATAAATACACAGTGGCACACACACAATGTCACATAAATACAAAGTGACACACACACTGTCACATAAATATACAGTGACACACACACTGTCACATAAATACAAAGAGACACAAACACTGTCACATAAATACACAGCGACGCACACACTGTCACAAAGATACACAAACAGTGACACATAGACACACAAACACTGTCACAAAGATACACAGCGACACACACACACTGTCACAAAGATACACAGTGACGCACACACACTGACATATAAATATACAGTGACGCACACACTGTCACAAAGATACACAAACAGTGACACATAGATACACACACTGTCACATACACTGTCACATAAATACACAGCGACACACCCACTGACACATAGATACACAGTGACACACACACACTGTCACAAAGATACACTGCGACACACACACACTGTCACATAAATTCACAGTCACACACACACACTGTCACAAAGATACACTGCGACACACACACACTGTCACATAAATACACAGCGACACACCCACTGACACATAAATACACAGTGACACACACACACTGTCACAAAGATACACTGCGACACACACACACTGTCACATAAATTCACAGTGACACACACACTGTCACAAAGATACACAGTGACACACACACACTGCCACATAAATACACAGCGACACACACACTGTCACATAAATACACAGTGACACACACACACACACACTGTCACAAAGATACATAGTGACACACACTGTAACATAAATACACAACGACACACACACACACTGTCACATAAATACCCAGTGACACAAACACTGTTACACAGATACACAGCGACACACATACACTGTCACATAAATACACAGCGACAAGCACACTGACACATAGATACACAAACAGGGACACATAGACACACAAACACTGATACGTAAATACACACACTGACACACAGACACACACATTGACACACAGACACACATACAGACACATAGATACAATAGGTGATAGGTCACGATACAAATCGCATGGGAACTTCTTGACAATAAATATTTCAGAGTAGGTTTAAAAGGAAAAGCTAGTTGGAGACACATGTTCGTTGAGGCATTTATAGTTGTGAACTTGAAAGGCTAATTACAACACATTTTGCGATACTTGACTACAACAAGTGCAAGGGTCATTAAACGAGCAGTAAATAATTTATTCCAGCAAGTGTATCGTCTTGTATCGATACAGGAGAAACACGATACACGACACACACATTGAAACACACGCACGCACGCACGCACACACACACACAAAGACACACACACACACACACACACACACACACACACACACACACACACACACACACACACACACACACACACACACACACACACACACACACACACACACACACACACAAACACACACAGTGACACACAGTGACACACAGTGATTCATATAATACACAATGCCACAAACACTGACACATAGATCCCCAGTGGCACAAAAACTGACATATAGATACACAAACACTGACACATAGATACACAGTGACACTAACATACTGACACACACATACACACATACTGACACATTTAACACACAAAAACACTGACACACAGATACACAATGACACTCACATACTGACGCACAATGACACAAACGGTGACAGATACACAGACACTGACATATAGATACTTAATGAGACACACAGTGACACACAGGCACACACTGACACACAGACACACACATACTGACATATAACTACTAAATAATACACACACTGACACACATACCCTGACATAGATACGCAATGACATACACCTACTGACACACATACACACACATACTGACACATAAATACTCAATAATACACACACTGACACACATACAGACACATAGATACAATAGGTGATAGGTCGCATGGGAACTTCTTGACAATAAATATTTCAGAGTAGGTTTAAAAGGAAAAGCTAGTATGGGACACATGTTCGTTGAGGCATTTATAGTTGTGAACTTGAAAGGCTAATTACAACACATTTTGCGATACTTGACTACCACAAATGCAAGGGTCATTAAACGAGCAGTAAATAATTTATTCCAGCAAGTGTATCGTCTTGTATCGATACAGGAGAAACACGATACACGACACACACATTGAAACATAGACACAAACTCTCTCTCTCACACGCACGCACGCGCACGTACGCACGCACGCACGCACGCACACACACACACACACACACACACACACACAAAAAGACACACACACACAAACATAGATACACAATGACACTCACATACTGACACACACATACACACATACTGACACATTTAACACACAAAAACACTGACACACAGATACACAATGACACACACATATTGACACACAGATACACACACGCTGACACATTAACACAAACACTGACACACAGATACACACTGACACACAGGTACACACGCACTGACACACATATACACACACACTGACACACAGATACACACTGACACACACATATTGGCACACAGATACAAACACACATACACACACACATTGACACACAGATACACACACATTGACACATCAACACACAAACACTGACACACAGATACACAATGACACACACATATTGACACACAGATACACACGCACTGACACACAGATACACACACACTGACACATCGATAACGTAGATCATGACTATCCACTGCTGAGGTACACAGTCTTACTATTGCAGGACCCAGCATGAAGCTTGGCCTACTGGTGCCCCTGGTGCTGGCTCTCATTGTGTCCCACACCGCGACTTCGGGTGAGTGAGAGAAGTGTGTGACAGGTTGGTTATTGTGCTAACGGGCAGGATAGTGGTAATATCTGGTATTGAGGCTTTCATGCTTGGACAGGGTAGATGGTGTTATAACGAGGCTTAGAGGCTTGGACCGGGAAGATGGTGACATGGTTGATGGTGTTGCTACATTGTGAAAAGCGTTATGACTTGGTAGATAGTGTTATGACGTAGTAGATAAGGTTATGACATAGTAGATAGTGTTATGGAAGATAGTGTTATGACGTAGTAGATAAGGTTATGACATAGTAGATAGTGTTATGGTAGATAGTGTTATGACATGGTAGATAGTGTCAGGACGTCGTAGAAAGCGTTATGACTTTGTAGATAGTGTTATGGTAGATAGTGTTATGACATAGTAGATAGTGTCATGGTAGATAGTGTTATGACATAGTAGATAGTGTTATGGTAGATAGTGTTATGACATGGTAGATAGTGTTAGGACGTCGTAGAAAGCGTTATGAATTTGTAGATAGTGTTATGACGTAGTAGATAAGGTTATGGCATAGTAGATAGTGTTATGGTAGATAGTGTTATGACATGGTAGATAGTGTTAGGACGTCGTAGAAAGCGTTATGACTTTGTAGATAGTGTTATGACGTAGTAGATAGTGTTATGACATAGTAGATAGTGTCATGGTAGATAGTGTTATGACTTTGTAGATAAGGTTATGACGTGGTAGATAATTGTATGACTTGGTAGATAGTGTTATGACATGGTAGGAAGCGTTATGGCTTGGTAGATAGTGTTATGACATGGTAGATAATGGTATGACTTGGTAGATAGTGTTATGACATGGTAGATACTGTTGTGACGTGGTAGAAAGCGTTACAACTTAGTAGATAGTGTTATGACGTGGTCGCTAGTTTTATTACATGGTAGATAACTCGGAAATGATGTATAAAGTTTGGGTTTGGGTGTTGAGGGTTGGTTGGAGTGGAAAGACCAACCTGACGACAGATGGGCGTCTGCGTAACGCAGACGTCGAGCTAGTCAATCTAGGGGGCGGGTTTACAAGCTGAACTGCACGATAACATCTGGATTACCTTGACGCGGGTCGTGTATCTATGTTCTGACATGTTGAGTTGTACTTAATCTCTCACTCTGATTTCACACCTGATAACATTGTCCTACATCTAACGTCATAGCATTAACATTCGGCTTCTTGGGAGGTTGAAGGGAATCGTAAAAGCAAGTGATGCATTTTGACGCCAAATAATTTTATTGCTGAGTAAAAGACAAAGCCGGGGTCCCGTCTCTCGGCACACCCAGGCTACTATATGACTTTCTGTAAGGAGCTAGGGGGTGGGGTTGGCGGGTTGGCTGATGGGGGTAGAGGGCATTGCGGTGTACCACATGCCTAGACACGCCCGGGATATGTATGCGTGTTTGCGGCGGGGCATATTCGTTCTTAGTCGTGATCTTTGAGTGGTGAGGTCGTACAGATGTACATATGTATATAAGCCAGTCAGTCCTGGAGGTGGGGATTGGATTAAGGTGGAATCTGTTCATGACAGAAGTTTAGTGAGTACATTTTGATCAACGTCACTGTTGTGATTGTATCCCGCAACCTTGGCATGTTTTAAATAGCTGTGGTAGTCCATGTATCATCAGAGGGTGACGTTAATGTTGTTGATGGCGCTGTACTGCTGGATGGTAATGAGTTGGGTGTCAACCAGTTGAAGAGTTCTCTCGGTTCTTTTCGGGGAGACTTTGAACAGAATAGCAATCTCACTGGCTTCCTGGACTGGATATAGTCGACTGGCCTCAAACAGGATACGTGTTCAGGACTAGTAGTAATAGCAAAAGTGTTATTCCTCAGATACATATAGCATAATGTGTGCATTATGCAATGAATTCACCTGCTGTTAGCCTTGTCAGTCTATCCATGGTATCACAATGATCAGGGATTCATAAAAAAAATATAATATACTCAACAACAAAAGTTCCTGTGACACCAATATTTTAGTTTATTTTTCAAACAAGTAAAGTTTGGTTTTCAATATTGTAGTACATGTATGGAATCAAGTCACAACCTCACAACTGCTACAGAAAAGCATGCATTCCATGCAAAAGTTGACTTTTCTGCAAGCCCCATGCATTTCACTACCAAAGAATGGGTATAAAAACATGTGCTTCAACGGGATTCCATATGCATTGTTAAGCATCGTGCTGACAACAACCACTCAGAAAAACAACAAAGTTACGCAATTATTCAACATTACGAAATGCCACGCCTGTCCGAATATGAGCGTCTGCGAGCCATTGGTATTGTCGCCAGAAGACCCGCCAGACGTCCCATTTTGACAGGAAACCACAGTCAAGCACGTCTACAGTGGTGCAGACAGCATCAACGCTGGACGGCCATGCAATGGGGACAAGTTCTATTCACTGACGAGTCTCGTTTTCACCTCAGCCACAGCGATGGACGGATTCGAGTGTACCGACGTCGAGGTGATCGTTACGTCAATCATTGTGTAATGGAAGAAGATCGGTTCGGGGGCGGCAGCGTTATGGTATGGGATGGGATGGGATTACAGCAAGACAGAGGACCCGTTTGATAGTGGTAGAGGGAAATCTCAATGAACAGCGCTACTGCGACGAGATCATCAGCCCTGTTGTTCTACCGTTCTGCGTCGTCATGGCCCAGGCATTACCTTTAAACATGACAACGCCCGGCCTCATATTACTCGACTTGTTCAGACTCTCTTCAACAAAACAACGTGAATGTCATCCCCTGGCCGGCTCGCTCCCCTGATCTCTCACCAATAGAGCACATGTGGGATGAGATGGATCGGCGCCTTCAACGTCAACCACGTGTTCCACAGACACTCCAGGAACTTCGAAACATGCTCCAGCAGATATGGACAGACATCCCGCAGGATTTTTTGCGACGCCTGGTCCATTCCATGAGACGAAGATGTGTTGCTTAAATCGCAACCAGAGGTGGACACACACACTATTGATTTGTAAATTGACATTTTGGCATGTTCATGTTTTTTTTATGAAACCACGCATTTTCGGAAGTCAGTATGGCAAATTAAACCATTTGAACACTAACAGGAGTCTTTTATCTGTTGCAAACCGAAATTGTTTCAGATTTGGTAAAAAACATAACTTTGCATTAAATCTTATTTAATGTCACAGGAACTTAGTTTTTCTGAATATTAATTCAAGATTAAGGAAAATTTTGTGGATTTCGCTCCGATACCTCGTGACCTCTTAGCCCCTTTCGGGAGACTGCCCGGGTTCTACTGTCAATTTGGGTAACCTGGTTGAAAAATACCTGGTTGGCAGCGATTCCTGGGTTGCTTGTAGATCGGGCAGTGATAATGAGCCTTGCCAGCCTGACTGTGCCAGGACCACTCGAACCCCTCTGCTGCATTTACGGACTTTGATTGGTTGCATGGCAATGTTCCGACAAGTCGTTCGATTGGCAGAACGTCGTCTCACTGGCGGTGCCAAAATGTTCCTCGCTTGATTAGCAAACGTTTTCACATATTTTACACACGTCCTAAGATTTACACTTATGTCTCATAATATATTTCAGCCCCTCTTGTCGATGAACGGCGCCCTGAGCGATCTGTGGGTTTCCGCGGTGTGGTCTTGCCGCCCATACTCGACGGCAGCGATAGACGCAACGCCGGCCCAGGTCGCCTCCCGCACGGGGTGTTCGGCAACAACGGCGTGGGCAAGTGAGACTGCAGTCGATGACGGACGCCTGGATTCTTCTTTGTCCACGTGGCTGTCACTTTGGCGTCCAGCTTTTCCCTTACATGTTCCCAGTACCCGGATAAACTGAAATAAAGCTGTTAATGTAAATCTGTTTTCGGCATTCACATTTTCATGGGATATTACACGAGCCTCAATCTAATATCAAGTTTACGTCCTGAGTGACATAATGCTCAGCTTGCCGAAGATTCACCGAAAAATTAATTTTTTTCACTCGTGACATTACCTTGATATTAAATTGAAGCGAGTGTAATATTCTATTTATTACCACTGACGTAACTTGAAGAGGAAACATTATTATATACAAGGGGTTACTGGTAAGTTCTGAGTCTCACCTGGAAAGACCATCTTCCGGAGGCAAGCGAGTTAACTGACTTTTAAAGTCCAGTTTCCACCCTTGCCGAACTAGGCTGGAATTCCTGGGCTCGATCGTAGCGCCACCAGTGGCTATTACGAGTTATGTCCTTTCTATGCCTCTCCTATTGACCAATCAGATTCCACCTCTCGTATCACTTGCATTTGCTTCAAAGAAAACGGTGGCGCCCAGTCAAGACGATCTGATCGATAATCAAGATCTATATTGTGATAAAACGAGTCTTACATCGCGAAGTGCATCAAATCACGTGAGCACCTTGATTAAAAACATGAAAAGATTTAGAAAATATCTGTTGACAACGAGTTAGCGGTGCACATGCTTTGCAAATCCTGCAGTCGACCGAAATCTGCATGACACTTTACGAACCGGATTTCGATTTCGGTGCGCGATTTTGATTGGACTATGCATAGACTCGTTAGTCCAACCAAAATGTAACTCCATAATACCAGCCTAGTTCGGCAAGGGTGGAAACTGGACTTTTATAGTCAGTTAACTTACTTGCCTCGGGAAGATGGGAAAGACCTGACCGAAAATGGTTTACTTTACAACATAATACCCTTCTACATTCATACACTTTTGACAACGATGTTGGAACGATTTTATCCCAGTTTCGTAGAAGTCCTTCTCTTGACTGTCCTCAAAGTTCTTCACAGCTGCTATGACGTCATCATTCGAGTCAACAAGGATTCTGGCTAGAGCTTTCTTCGTGTTTGGGAACAGATGCCTGTCTGACGAAGCCAGACCAGGGGATGAGGGTGGTGAAGGTAATGGCTGATGTGTCCACTCGTGCATTGTCCTGATGGAAGAGCACACATTATTTCCCAGCTTCCGCCATCTTGCAGTCTCAATTATAACCCGTGATTGCTTCAAACATGCAGCACAATATGCAACGATTATTGTCTGGCCTGTCGACAACACCATAACGACACCATGACGACACCATGAAGACACCATGGCATCATCTTATAGTCGTCCTCTTAAAGGCGTCCTCTAATAGGCGCCCTCTAATAGGCACCCTCTAATAGGTGCCCTCTAATAGGCACCCCCTTATAGGCGCCCTCTAATATATATAGGCACCCTCTAATAGGCGACCTCCAATATTCGCCTTCTAATAGTCGCCCTCTTATTCCCTTTCTAATAGTCGCCCTCTAATAGGCACACTCTAATAGGCACCCTCTAATAGGCACCCTCTAATAGGCGCCCTCTAATATATATAGGCATCGTCTAACAGGTGTCCTCTAATATTCGCTTTCTAATAGTCGCCCTCTAATAAGCGCCTCCTTAAAGGCACCTTCTAATAGGCGCCCTCTAATATGCATCCTCTAATAATCGCGATTTATGGGCGTCCTCGTATGGGCGCCCTCTAATGGGCATCCTCTAATAGCACAATGTGCTACGATTATTGTCTGGCCTGTCGACGACACCATAACGACAACATGACACCATCCTCGTGGCAGTCGTCCTCTAATAGGCGCCCTCTAATAGGCGCCCTCTAATAGGCGCACTCTTATAGGCACTCTCTAATAGGCACCCTCTAAAAGGCGCCCTCTTATAGGCGCCCTCTTATAGGCGCTCTCTTATAGGCGCCATCTAATAGTAATAGGCACCCTCTAATAGGCGCATTCTAAAAGGCGCACTCTAATAGGCGCTCTCTTATAGGCGCCATCTAATAGTAATAAGCACCATCTAATAGGCGCCCTCTAAAAGTAATAGGCACCCTCTAATGAGCGCCCTCTAAAAGGCACACTCTAATAGGCGCCCTCTAATAGGTGCCCTCTAATAGGCACTCTCTAATAGGCACTCTCTAATAGACGCCATCTAATAGTAATAGGCACCCTCTAATAGGCGCATTCTAATAGGCGCACTCTTATAGGCACCCTCTAATAGGCGCCCTCTAATAGGCGCCCTCTAATAGGTGCACTCTAATAGGCACTCTCTAAAAGGCACTCTCTAATAGGCGCCATCTAAAGTAATAGGCACCCTCTAATAGGCGCACTCTAATAGGCGCACACTAATATGCACCCTCTAATAGGCGCCATCTAATAGTAATAGGCACCATCTAATAGGCGCCCTCTAATAGTAATAGGCACCCTCTAATAGGCGCACTCTAATAGGCACCCTCTAATAGTAATAGGCACCATCTAATAGGCGCCCTGTAATAGTAATAGGCACCCTCTAATAAGCGCCCTCTAAAAGGCGCACTCTAATAGGCGCCATCTAATAGGCGCACTCTAATATACACCCTTTAATAGGCGCACTCTAATAGGCGCCCTCTAATAGGCGCACTCTAATAGGCACCCTTTAATAGGCGCACTCTAATATGCGCCATCTAATAGGCGCACTCTAATAAGCGCACTCTAATAGGCGCCCTCTAATAGGCACCCTCTAATAGGCACCCTCTAATAGGCGCCCTCTAAAAGTAATAGGCACCCTCTAATAGGCACCCTCTAATAGGCGCACTCTAATAGGCACCCTCTAATAGGCGCCCTCTAAAAGTAATAGGCACCCTCTAATGAGCGCCCTCTAATAGGCGTACTCTAATAGGCACCCTCTAATAGGCACCCTCTTATAGGCACCCTCTAATAGGCACCCTCTTATAGGCGCCATCTAATAGTAATAGGCACCCTCTAATAGTAATAGGCACCCTCTAATAGGCACTGTCTAATAGGCACCCTCTTATAGTAATAGGCACCCTCTAATGAGCGCCCTCTAATAGGCGCACTCTAATAGGCACCCTCTAATAGGCGACATCTAATAGTAATAGGCACCCTCTAATAGGCGCCCTCTAAAAGTAATAGGCACCCTCTAATGACCCCCCTCTAATAGGCGCAATCCAATAGGCACCCTCTAATAGGCACCCTCTAATAGGCACCCTCTTATAGGCGCACTCTAATAGGCGCCATCTAATAGTAATGGGCACCCTCTGATGAGCATCCTCCAATAGGCGCACTCCAATAGGCGCCCTCTAATAGGCACCCTCTAATAGGCACCCTCTTATAGGCACACTCTAATAGGCACCCTCTAAAGGGCGCCCTCTAATAGGCGCCCTCTAATATATATAGGCATCCTCTAATAGGTGTCCTCTAATATTCGCTTTCTTATAGTCGCCCTCTAATAAGCGCCTCCTAAAAGGCACCTAATCTAATAGGCCCCCTCTATCTGGCGCTCTCTAAAAGGCGCCCTCTAATTGGCGCTCTCTAATAGGCGCTCTCTCGTAGTCGCCTCTAATAGGCGCCCTCTAATAGGCGCTCTCTCATAGGCGCTCTCTAATAGGCGCCCTCTAATAGGCACCCTCTAATAGGCGCCCTCTAATAGGCGCCCTCTAATTGGCGCTATCTAATAGTCGCTCTCTAGTAGTCGCCTCTAATAGGCGCCATCTAATAGTCGCTTTGTAGTAGGCGCCCTCTCTGACGGTACTATACGTTTAAGGCACTTTTGGTTAGCATCACATATGTGAAGTCTTCAATTATGTCTGGTGTACGGTGTGTAATACCAAGCAGTTGCACGCAGTCAACCCATTCACCAACAAGCACCTCCCCTAATATGGGTAAAAACAGCATAAAACCATACTCATTCATCCACCAACAGGCAACTGTGTTGTACATATAGTGCTCACCTGAGTCACACTGAGTAAGCGTGATTGTTGGAGTAAATCTCATAAACTACATCCGGGACGTATGATATATAGTTGCGATAAAATCACATTATTATTTAATCACAGAATTGTTTGACACCAAGGCTATGTGCTCCCCATGTCGACAAATAAAGTCGTAAATCATTTTTCTTTCTATCTTCAAGTACAAACGAAAATCGCGTAACATCTTGCTCCATAACAAACACAAGAAAACTTCTGATGTTGATTGTTGCATATAATGCGATGATCAAAGAAGAGGCTGACACTCTCGGGGCCACACACGAGTGGCTGTCTCTTCCTCATCATAAAGCCTTCATCTTAAACCTGCTGGGCCATACAGGTGTCATGTTTCCACAGCCTCGAGACGTACCTGGTCTATGTATATATATCCACATCACCAAGGAAGGGGGTGGGGGGGGGGTGGGGGGGTGGGGGGGGGGGGGGGGGGGCATACTTTACTTCCACGTGAGCATTTAAACCCTGGTCTTCGGTGGGACGAGACAAAGCACGAGCAAATTACACGACGGCCCTTTAATTTGGGGATTGCCTACAAGTCGCACCAAGAAAAGTCGGGCCGGGCCGGACCAGCGGGTAATACTAAAAATGGATTGCAGAATAATAAAACGAAACGTGCATATCTAGGCAGATCTCAAATGTCCACAAACGTATAGTTTTGCTCATTTAATTGAGTTTGAATCAAAATGCATCTTCAACTGATAATTATGACTACATACCCAGAGTCCTCGTAGAAAAGTCAGTGTCTTGAATGTGTGTTTTCTTTTATGAGAAGGTTTCTCACCGACCTTAGTGTGTAGGGGTGTGATGTCCTGGGCAGGAAATTATAGTGTTTTTCTTCTTTCATTAATTAACCTGTTGGGCATCCCTCATTAACCTTTACTAATTCATGTTAAACCAACACAGGATGTTTTCTGGAAGTGGATATTCGCGAATGTCATACGGCTGACTCAACGTGTTGATAACTGTCAAAGCACTTCTAAAGTTACTAAAAATACTTTACATCTTTAGCCAAGTATTAGATCTACCTATATACCACTTTAGTGTCTCATATTGCGGTATTTA